TCAAATCGTTTAATTACATGTTTATTAGCTGATCTGCTTATTAAATTGCTTCCAGGACGTGACAGCTACCAAAGGAAATGAATTTGAGGACTATTTTCTCAAACGTGAACTACTTATGGGAATATATGAGAAGGGTTTTGAAAGACCTTCTCCTATTCAAGAAGAGAGTATTCCTATTGCTTTAACTGGAAGTGATATTCTTGCTAGAGCCAAAAATGGAACTGGGAAGACAGCAGCATTTGCATTCCTGCCTTGGAAAAAATTGACCAAGATAACAATGTTATTCAAGGTTAGATCTCCATCCTCCTCTCTTCATGTATATCAGTTATAGGTCCAGTTAATTGGTAATGGGTACTTCATAGCTTTTCCATTTCTATTGTATATTATTGTTTTCTAGTTGCCTGTTTTGCCTGTCAATCAGATATTGGGGAAGATGCATGAGTGCTGTTTGCTGTTTATATTGTTAATTTAAATTTGAATTACGGGCATTGGTATGTATGGACATAGTCAAATGATGGTTAAACTTCTGTACCAGTTCGTGAAATGAGTGCATCAAGACATCTTGCAAATAGGTGCAACCTTTTGCGGCTGTCCAGGCATAAATTTTCATTCTTCTTTCCGAAACCCATGCTAATAAAATTCTTTATTGAACCTTTTCGGTTTAGTATGAGATACAATTCAATTCCCCGTATCTAACTCATGATGTTACTTTAGGCATAAGAACGTTTCAATGACACTCTTCAATTCTGAGTTTTCATTATTTGTTAAGTTACTTGTTTTTACTGATTATCTGTGTGTGTGTGTGTGTGTGTTTGCACAGTTGTCATACTTGTTCCAACAAGAGAGCTGGCTCTTCAGACATCACAAGTCTGTAAGGATCTTGGGAAGCATTTGCAAATTCAAGTCATGGTCAACTGGAGGTACCAGTCTCAAGGATGATATCATGAGATTGTATCAACCAGTCCATTTGCTGGTTGGAACTCCTGGGAGAATTCTCGACCTTGCTAAAAAAGGTGTTTGCATTTTGAAAGATTGTTCTATGCTTATCTTGGATGAGGTAATAATTTGGTAATTTCTATGTAATTTTTCTTTCAGTTTAATTTGAGAAATTTGATGAAGTAGAAGCCTTTTGGATAGCTTTGGAGGAAAAGAGTTTTTTTTTTTGGGAATCTTGGCAAATGTTGTTTTATGGGTTATGCCTTTTTTGGTTTGCTGAATTGAGGGATAAGTTTGGCCGCCTCATGTTTACAATTTGGAAATATTTGCCACAATGGATCTGGCAAGGAAATTATTAATTCTGTTATTTTGTTCTTACAGCTTACTTGTCTCTTGTCAAAGGTCCAGATAGTAGAAACTGTTTTGGTTGCATAATTTGTTGGATTTTCGCTTAAAGACTTTAAATGTAATTACAAAAATTTATTTTTGTTGTAAGTTGAGGGTGCATCTGCATTCTGAAAGAAAGGTTTTCTTCTGGAATCTTGGCAAATGATGTTTTTCTTATCTTGTTCTTACAACTTGCTGGTCTCTTGTCAAAGGTCCAGATTCTAGAAACTGTTTTGACTGCATTATTTTTTGTATATTTGCTTAAAGAATTTAAATTTAGTTACAAGTACTTATTTTTATAGTAAATTAGGCTGTATCTGCATTCTCTTTGTTGGATATCTCCATTCTCCAATGTTGTCCACTTGTTTTTAAAGATTGAGCATTGTTATCTTCTGTCTTCAATTACCCTCTGATTCTTTTTCCAATTTCCTATCTTTATATAATTGCTTGTTTTGGAGCTTGATTTTATAAGTGCGATTCAGTAGCACAATTACAAGTTTCTATAAAAAAGAAGCAAGGCAAATATTTGATTGTTTTCCGTACCTTTTTATTGTTGATGCTAACTTTTTATTTATAAAAGCTTATTTTTATGCTTTGGTTTCTTTCAGGCAGATAAACTACTGTCTCCAGAGTTTCAACCATCTATAGAGCAGTTGATACGTTTTCTTCCAGCGAATCGTCAAATTTTGATGTTTTCAGCCACATTTCCTGTTACTGTCAAGGACTTTAAAGACAGATACCTTAAGAAACCTTATATTATTAATCTAATGGATGAGCTTACTCTGAAGGGTATTACACAATATTATGCGTTTGTGGAAGAAAGGCAGAAAGTCCACTGCCTAAATACTCTTTTCTCTAAGGTTTGATGTTATAAAAAACGATATCTAGTTTTCCATCTTTACCTTTGTTTGGATGAGTTGTGATATTTATTTATCTACAGCTGCAAATAAACCAATCAATCATTTTCTGCAACTCGGTGAATCGGGTGGAACTGTTGGCCAAGAAAATTACAGAGCTTGGCTACTCTTGCTTTTATATCCATGCGAAAATGCTTCAGGACCATCGTAACAGAGTATTTCATGATTTCCGCAATGGTGCATGCAGGAACCTTGTTTGCACTGGTATGTTTTACCACGCTGTGTATTTTTGGATGTGAGCTAATCTTTGTTTTCTGTTTGATTCTTGAACAAGTAAATCAGTGTTATATAGCTTTGAGTTTGAAGTACTTTCTTTTCACTGTGTTTTCTGTTCGATTCTTGAACAAGTAAATCTGTGTTGTATTGCTGAGAGTTAGAAGTACTTTCTTTTGTCTGTGTTTTCTGTACTAGGCATTTCATTTCATTTCATTTCATTTCATTTCATTTCATTTCATTTCATTTGGCCTTTTCCTTTCTTTTTTTTTTGCCAGAAGATAACTAATTTGAACCCAACGTTGCTGGCTCTAATTTTTTTAAGCAACATTCTTCACATGCTTTATAATCAAATCCCTGATGCTGTGAAGAAATCGTTTTTACTCTTCATAAGCATTCCGTGATAGTCATCTTGAAGAATAATCTCCTAATGATATATTTGTACTTGTACAGATCTTTTTACTAGAGGTATAGATATCCAAGCTGTTAATGTTGTTATTAACTTTGACTTTCCCAAGAATTCAGAAACATACCTTCATAGAGTAAGTTGGTTAAGATATTTTCTTTCTCCAAGTTGCAACATTATATCATTCTTCCTGGCAATCCTCATGGATATTCTTTTAACGAGCAGGTTGGTCGATCAGGAAGGTTTGGTCATCTTGGATTGGCTGTGAATTTGATCACTTATGAGGACCGCTTTAACTTGTATGTTACCACATCCAACTTCTGCGAACTTTAGTATCATATACATTGAGGTTCCGATTTACTGAATTTCTATGTGGTCCTTGTAACACAGGTATCGGATTGAACAAGAACTTGGAACTGAAATTAAGCAAATTCCTCCACATATCGATCAGGCAATTTACTGTCGTTGATTTATGGTGGATGTTTTCTGTTCAGCCTATGGTGGTAAACAATGGTGAGCTCCTTGTGCCCAGTTCTAGATTATTACATGCATGAAAAGATTTATTTGTTCTTTGTACTCATGCGATTTATATGCTACAATTACTGATGACGAACAACGGTTTGTATGTTTATTAGGGTTAACGAAGCTGGTCAATCAAGGTGTTTGCCGTGGCGAAGGGATGCGGGTTATAAAAATTAAGTGGTGTTTGGTAGATGACATGTATTGCTGCTGTATGCGTGCATGTAATCCCCCGAATTCTTGTATCGATTTTATCGAATTCCGTAGTCCTGAAATGTTCACAGGATAGGAGAGAATATTGAAGAGTCCTGCTTTCGATTTTATGTTCAACATGGCTACTTTTATACTATATTTTCTCATCATGGTGGACTGGCTTTGGAAGGTCGTGGCTTTGTGCAAAGAAACCTATGTGCTGTTTATGTTGGTGCAGTTGCTCTCATCTTTGTCACATGGATAAATAAAGCATCTGACGTTTTAAAAAAACAAACGACTTTGATGCTTTCCGATTTTCTGTTTGTTTAATCCAATTTACTATGTTCTTGGAACTTTTCATCTTGTTGAAGATGTTGATATTCGTCTGTATGCTTCTCAGATTCTTTGCAAATGATGGATCCTTGAAGAAGCTCAAAGGATAAATACATATCCGTGGTTTGGTTTGGTCTTAAAATGCATGGTATACATTAATACCATATCATTATTTGATATAAAGAATTTGCTTATTTTATTTTGAACTCATAAAATTTAAAATTCCAAATCTTGAACTTTAAAATTGTGTAAACCCTAAATTCTAGATAAGATGCCAGATTCAAAATAGATAAATCATGTGAAGTTTATTTTATACAATTTGTGCATCAGACTAGGGCTAAATTATCTATATATTGCATTTGGATTTTTTAGTTCTAAAAACATAACAAGCATTTGTTGTAATAAAGTATGAGGTCGCCCAAATTATCTACTGATTTTACTGTTTATTATTTTTTGGGGTTAAAATTTCAAGCTCAGTATAAGTACATATTGATTTCACTATTTTACCATGCATGGTTAGTATGACATGCAGGCGTGAGGTTGGGGTAATAGAAACTATACTAACCTAAAATTTTTAATTAAAAGAAGAGATGAACAGTGAAATCGGTTTATAATTCGACCGACTTCATTTTTACTGTAATAAATATAACAGATTAAAAAACTAAAAATAAATACTTCCAAAATTAAAAAAATTCAAATACAATATCTTAATAATTTCACCATCAATTGAGTTGAAATTACAACATCGATATCATCTGTCCCGTGGAGTTGTCATTTTCCAAGTAAGCGTCACGTTTCCATAATGGAAGGGTCTAAGTGACTCGAGCCCATCAACTTCCAACACCAAACCAAGCGTCCTTTTCTGGTTGCCCACACATTTATGATACTCGGTCAATTGAATGAACGCACTCGCCCTTTGCCTTAACTTCCACGTCAAACAGAAAACAACTAGACCCACCGTTTTCTTACAAGGCATAGGTACAATGTTCCCAAGCATAGAGAAATTTGGGAGATCCAAAGTTCAACCAATTCGATGGTCCATTCAACATTTGTGATATTACTACACAGTTTAAACACAACAAACAAACAAACAAACAAACAAAAACAAGAAGAAATATACATATGAAAAACGGGAAAGTACAATACAATTACAAACAAGAAGAGTGGGCAACCAAAACACCTAAAAATACATTTGCTTTGAAACTTCAGAAACAGCCGAGGAGCTTTTTTGGAGTTTGTCCGGTTGCACGGTATTTTGCGGCCATTTCCTCCGCCTTGAGAACGTCTTCCCCACGTTTGGCTTCAACCATTGCCCTCTTCTCTTCTGCTTCCTTGTGAACTAGCGCTACCTTATTCTTCATTCTCTCTCCATACTCTGCTTTCTTCGTTTCCAGTTGTTCCTACCAAGTTAGAATTAAACCCAAATCATAAATGATCGCCCAAGCATGTCCAATAAGAACAGTTCTTAACAAAATTCATGTATGGAGGGCTAGCTACCTCAATTTTTTTCAGTTTTGCTTCCAAAGCTGCTTTCTTGCTGTTCTCCCATGCTACGATAGCAGAGAGCTTTTTCTGGGACCTGCTCGCCGGTTTTAAGTTGATAGATTAATCAACGGTTGAATTCCTCTGGAAGATAATGAAAATTGAAAACTATAAAGAATAAACTTATTTTATAAATTGCTTTGGGCATTACTTGTTCTCTGCTTTGGTCTTTTCACTATCTTCCCATGCCTTGATGAATGACAACCTTTTTGCCTTTTCAACCTCTGCGAGGGCTACATCTGAAAGAACAGAAATTATTGATAAGCATCCTCCTTTTATATGCTAAATAAAACGATGGTATCAAAGAACTATTGCCAACAATTACCTCTATCATGTGATCCGCCTGAAATTTTCTTTGGTTCAGGCTCTGGAGCCTCTGTCAAAATCAAAATAACGTTAAAACCGCCAGAAGAGTATCAGTAAGTGAAGTATGTAGAGAATGGATGGATTATCTTAATACATAAACAAATAAAAGCGTGAAAATGGGTTCTTTAAGTACATTGAGAAAATTCAGGTATTGTAACTTGATCAAAAACTATCACCAACTCGAGGATTACCTGGAATTTCTATCAATACGTAAAGAATAAAGAACTATAATTTCTTCATCAATAATGATAATACCAAATTGAAGTTTCTTTTTCACCCTTAAAAGCTAGCTAATAAGACAAGGTATAGCAACAGTAGAAGTCCTGTAATCAAAGCAACTTTAATTTGTCGCCTAAAGATAATGAAAAATGGCCCCATAATCAAACTATTAGATGCCCATTATATAATTAAGGGGCCATGTTTACAAAAATCATAGTGCTAAACTAATCAGGATAGCACATTGCCAGCATATATCTACTAGAATCTTGTGCTAAATCGGCTATATCCAGGGATAAATATAAAACTAAAGATGTATGATCTTTTTCATACATAAACTTCTTTTTTCTAATTGAATTGAGTAGTAAAGGTTTTTAGGGTTGAAACTGTGCTACAAAACATTATTGGTTAGTTCAAAAAGAGTAAACAGAAGAAAGAAAAACTCACACAGAGAAATCTGGAAATTTAACCAATTCTTTTACCTCCCTCTTTTGTTAAATTGGATTATATTCTAATGTAACGGACCACTGAAACAGAAATTAAAAGTAAATTTGTATGCTAAATAGTCTTGAATTTTGTTTTCCATAGATAATTTTATATTAGAGAGAGATTTCAGGCACTAATTTAATATGAATTTAAACTAAAAAAAGGATATGGAAACACGAAATCTAAATTTTGATTGTGCGAAATGGAAATGTTTAATATTATCTTATACAAAAAATTTAAAGAGAAGTTCACCAAACCATGAAAGAAACAGATAAATTCATCTTCAATAGAAAGGGAAAAAACGTAGTTAGCAAAATGGATCACCGAAAGAAATACCGAGATTTTATTTCACTTACCGGTGTTAATTTCCTTTAATTACGCAGACAAACGGAGCTTAGAAAAAAACATATGAATTTCATGATTCGATGGTTGAAACTTGAAACTATTTATAAAAACAAACACGATGCGGTGAAAGCCAAGCTTACTCTCAATCACTGCAAGAGCTTTCGATTCTTCAGGTTTCTCAACTACTGCTAGAGCTTTTGATTCCCCAGGCTTCTCCTCCGCCGGCGTGGAGAAACAGTTTTCTCTTCAGATCCAGCTTTTGGAGCCTCCAGTGCCGGTGGTGGAGCCGCCGCGGTTTCAGCTTCAGCCGGCTTCTTCTCTTCCTCGCCATAATTTAGATTGATCGGAGTTTATGGAAAACAAACCAAAATTTCGATTGAAATTAGGTGATATCTGAGCTCTCAAAATTATCAAATAATATTTATATAGCGACGTTCGTTTAAATCAAATGATAAGATGCTTCCATCTTATATTACTATGTTTGCTTTTATTAATGAAGATATTAAATGTCTGGTTTAAATATAAATTTGGCCCTTAAACTTGTACCATCCTACAGCACAAGTTTTAAGGATTACTATAAGAGAAAAGTATAAGTTCAAGGGCTAAACTTATATTTAAACTTTTATTTTTAATCCAACGGTTGTTATGTTTTAAATTAGACGATTGGGATTTGAGAGTAGGTATGGGATTATTTATGCCGACAGGTAAAACGGTTAACTTTGTGTGCCAATTATATCGTCCCCTAACAAAACGACGACGTAGTGGTGTTAAAAAACCAGAGCATAGAATCACTTGATTCTTTAGACTAATTGGTATCCTCTTGGGAAAAAAATATGGTAAAATTTTGTAATTTTTCAAGTAATGAAAATTAATGATATAATCAGGAGGATTGACCTAGACGGGGCGGACACCCCTTAAAAATATAAAAATCAGTGTCCGTCGGATATAATGTCTTACACGGGCTTTTTGCTAGTTTAAGAATTGAATACTTCTTTTACGAGTAAATACTTCATATATATACAGAATTGAACAACAGTAAACGAGATAAATTATTGTGAGCCGAAAGGCGAAATGCAAAAGCAAAGGAGATGTAAATGACAAGTAAGAGAAGTGTAGGGCTAGGCTGGTGGCCAACTAAGTTGAGCTACTAGGGAATTTTATGTGAATGATTTGGTCTTCGTTTTGTTTGGCCATTTTGCCAACCACGTGGAACAATACCCTATTTAAGACTTCTCAAACGTGAACCATAGTCTCATATTACTATATTTTATACTCATCTTGTTTTAAATATAATTGTATTATTTAACATATCTTCACATTACATAATTTCATTATATTTAAAATTCGAATCTAAAAAAAATGAATATATATTTGATAACTTTTAACTTTTAGTCTTACAAAATAACTTTAAGCGTGATCACTATAACGAGAACCCTAAATCATTCAAGCTAACCTACGTAACATAAAGCTAACTCACGCGTTGACCCCAAACTCCATTTAAGCACGAAACCTTAACCTTCCTGCGAGCTCAATAACATACCGCTGCTTAATTTTGACAAACTCTGGTTTTGTGATTGAGCTTGTGAATACAGCTTCCATGGAGGAGCCTGTCAAGATTTTTCATGGCGTTTGGCCTTGTGGAGATGAAGTGATTCATGGTTGCTTTTATAAGCTTGGGATTGGACGGCTCAAGGGATTTGTGACGACGACTGCTACCTTCATATTCTTCTTCTTCCTCGTTGTAGTTGTTGCCTTGTTTTGGATGGATATCGTAAGTCTCCTTTAAACTAAAGCTTACTCCATTTTTTCAATAAATAATTCTTTGGTCTACTTGTTTCTCAGCCTATCATACGGGGCGATCCATTTAGTTTTACTTCAAAAGTTCATCACGAGAGGTTTCAATTTCCTCTCACCTGCTCTACTTCAGTTAATATTTCATCGGCGTTTAACCCCAAGGATTCACCGACCAAAACTTGCCCGGACTACTTCCGGTGGATCCACCAAGACTTAAAGCAATTTAAAACTTCGGGAATTACAAAAGACTTGATCGAGAGTGGAACTCCGAGCGCAGATTTCAGGCTCGTGATCGTCGACGGAAACGCTTATGTCGATAGGTACAGACCGTCGTATCAAACCAGAGATTTGTTTACAATATGGGGCATTTTGCAGCTTCTAAAGCTGTACCCTGGAAAAGTAAAAAGAAATGCAGACACCTTAAGTTTGCAGTTGATTGGGGAAACAATCACACTCACGAGGTGTGTATTCTCGGAAAATCGAAGGATACGGATCGGATTGGATTCGATCATTTATGTACCCTTTTTCACTCGGTGAACTTGCAGGCACAGGCCATAGGGAAAGCAGGAAGCAAATTTATTGAAGAGATGGTATCAATCCGAAATGTGTATGATTACATGTCCCATTTGTTGAGCGAGTACTCGAAACTCTTGAAGTATAAACCGACGATACCTCCGAATGCGCAAAGGGTCTGTGCCGAAACGACGGTGCAAGGTTTAGCGAAGGAGTTTATGTTGCAGTCGATGGTGAAGTCTCCTAGTGATGAACTTCCATGCGCATTGCCTCCCCATATGAACCTCAAGACATTCAAGCTTCCCATATGAAGCCAAAAATTTATATTAAATAAGCTCAATTGGATAATAAGCCCATCGACTACTTTTTTTTAATTAAGTTTCTAATTTATTATTTAGTTGAATGACATTCTTACACTATAAATTTGTAATCGCTTTGGACCATTCATTATTTTCCTAAAAAAATTCAGTCAATCAAATAGTGATACAAAATGAACATTAATATAACAATTTTCCAATTTAAAATTGAATAACTAATTAATTGGTTTAATTCCACGAGTAGCCCTTTTATATTTCTAGCTCTCTCAACTCCTCACTCACGTCCTCACTTATCAATAAATATATACCGAAATATAGCTCTAGCCCTCTTCTTTGTACTTCTTTACCTAATTTCTATATATATAAAAAAAATTTTATATTTTCAAAATCTCACTTGATCGATTAACTTTATATATTTTAATTTATTAATTTAATCATTTGATGATCATGAAATCGAATCATGTTATTTTTATTTTTATCTTATTCTACAATCATTTATCATTTAGATTATCGAACGATCCATTTGAGAATCAAAGACGGATATACGAAAGGGTTAAATTTTGATAAGATAATAATTTATTTTATAAAAGATTACATGTCAAAGTCTAATTAACTGAAAAGATTTTCGTTGAACGAAAAATAATGGAAGGCAGTGAAACATTTATTATTTAAATAATTAATTAAAAAAAATTAACTTTTTTAAATAGAAAAAGTTATTTATCTTAAAAGGGTGTGGTTTAGAGACTTATTACGGAATTAAGCCAATTAAATACGCTAAATATTGTATCTCTACGCGTAACCCTTTGGCTAATAGTAATTTCTCTCTCTCTAAATTTTACGATGTGATAATTTTTTTTTGAATTAATCATTGGTATATGATCTATTGATCAACTAAATTTAATTCGGGTATTGTAGAGGTGAGGGGACTCTTTCAACCCAATTTGCTCTATTTGCAAATTCCAACATTCAAACATTTGATCTTGGGGACAATGCCTCGTTCTACTATATCAACTGGTTGTTGGTGATGTGATATCCCTTTGATTCCCATGTAGTTCCGCCGCTGACCACAAGTTCTATTAATGTAATTAATCCATCACTAATTAGTCGATAGTAAAATGGTACCAAAATAATTAAAAAAGTTTGGGGCAGAATGTATCCGAGTCAAATCAGTTACATATCTCGCCAAACAATTTTTCTCCTTCCAAATTTAATCAATCCATTCAAGGCATTTTACGGTACCTTACCTTTCAGATCATATTTCCATATATACATACACGAAGCCGTTGAAAGATTGAGTTAACCCTGTTTGAGTCTGAAGCTTTTTCAACTCAGTTTCCATGGCGGAGCATGTTAAACTTTTCCATTGTGCTTGGCCTTACGCCCTTAAGGGATTGGTCTCGACGACTGTGACTGTCTTACTCTTCTTCTCCCTCTTCGTCTTTGCAGCTCTGCTAAATTGGATGGATATTGTAAGTCTTCCCTTTTTAAATCAAACATATATTTGTTGCTTTCAATTCCATTAATAAAAGTTTTTGTTCCTCAGCCTATTATACGGGGGACACCTTTCGGCCAGGCGATCTTCACTTCAATAAGTTCTGGTGTTCATCATGAGAGGATTGAATATCCTCTAAACTGCTCTGAACATGTAGTTGACTTAACATGTTCGGATAATTACCCGTCGATGTTCGAGCCTGAAGAATCGAATACCGAAGCTTGTCCGGATTACTTCCGGTGGATCCACGAGGACTTAAAGCAATGGAACAGTTCAGGGATTACGAAAGATATGATCGAGAGGGGAATTCCGAGTGCCGATAACCGGCTGGTGATCATAAACGGAAGCGCTTATGTGGAGAAGTACAAACCTTCGTATCAAACCAGGGATGTGTTTACAATATGGGGCATATTGCAGCTTCTAAGGTTGTACCCTGGAAAAGTTCCAGACTTGGACCTCTTGTTCTATACCGGAGACAACACTGTGATCATGAAACGAGACTATAATGGACCGAATGCTGCATCAACGCCACCGCCATTGTTTCATTACTGCGGAGAGGCAGCAGCGCTCGACATTGTGTTCCCTGACTGGACCTTCTGGGGATGGTAAATTCTGCCTTCTGGTAAGTATTACCGAAAGTTAATGATTTTGTATGTTTTTTCACTGTGCTTTGTTGTGGCAGGGCAGAGGTAAATATAATGCCATGGGAACAGATGTTAAGGGCAATAAAGAAAGGGAGGGAGAGGATCAAGTGGGAAGATAGGGAGCCTTACGCCTTCTGGAAGGGTAACCCCTACGTTGCTGCCGATAGGGTAGACTTCTTGAAATGCAACCTTTCGGATAAAAATGACTGGAATGTTCGGCTTTATAAGCAGGATTGGAATAAAGAAGTTGCAGAAGGTTTCAATCATTCTAGATTGGAAGATCAATGCACCCATAGGTACGTATCGAGAACCTTGTTGATTTCGATTTTAAACGACTTCAAGTCGAGTCTAATTGCTTGCGGTACGATCGGTATCAAGATATAAAGTCTATATAGAAGGAGCGACATGGTCTGTAAGTGAGAAATACATAATGGCATGCGATAGTGTGACCTTGATGGTAAAGCCTATATACTATGATTTCTTCTCAAGAAGCATGGTGCCGATGCAGCATTTCTGGCCGATCAGCCGCGAGAACAAATGCAGAGATATTAAGTTTGCGGTTGAATGGGGCAATAATCGTACTCACGAGGTACGTGTTCGGAGCGAATGAAAACATGGATTGCAATGAATTCGATCATTTACGGTTTCATTCCATGAACTTGCAGGCACAAGCCATAGGGAGAGCAGGAAGCAAATACACGGAAGAGATGCTGTCGATGCGAAACGTGTACGATTACATGTTTCATTTGTTGAACGAATACTCGAAACTCTTGAAGTTTAAGCCGATGATACCTCCGAATGCCCGAAGGGTATGTTCCGAAACCATGGCGTGCTCCAACAAAGATTTATGGAAGGAGTTCATGGTGCAGTCGATGGTGAAATCTCCTAGTGATAAACTTCCATGTACATTGCCTCCCCCATATGATCTCCAAGCCATCCAAGCTTCTCTCGATGCACGAGAGAGAATAGCCAAGCAAGTGGAGAAATGGGAAACCGAGTATTTTGAAAAAAACTAAATGATAAGAAACAATAGATCGACCGATAGATAGATAGATAGATAGATATCGAACCAAATCATATGAAACAATATTGTAATCAAATATTAGACAGATTTTTGAAGCAGCATTCAAAAACAGGGGAATTCCTACCTTTATAACGCACCATTTGGACTATAGGGAATACTGGGGATATTTAATAGTATATAATCTTTTTCTGATAGATCTCGGATACAGAGAAAGAAGATTATTGTAAAATGAAAACCCTTGAATGTATTTTCGATTACTGGAATAATCAAAGAGCTCGTGATTTGATGATGTCGAAGCTCATCTCGCTCGGATCGGTCGCCTGCAACTCGGCTTGAATACCATCCAATTGTCTCTTGAATTTGTCCTTGGAGCTTGCATAAAGCATCTTAGTCCTCACCCTTGCCCCATCAGGTGCCCTATACACACACACGCCATACAGGAACAATATATACAACTTACGTAGGGAACAATGCTTTTGGTTTATAAGTTTTCTTACCAAGCGACGAAGAAAATCTTGCTCTTCTGGCAATTCTCGACGGTGGTGAAGTCGTAATCGAAGACGGCGTAGCGGCATTCGTTTGGCGGCAACGAGTTGGTGAAATCTTCGTACGTCTCCCGGGGCCCTCCCAGCTTCTCGACAACCACCTGCTGTGTCTGGTCGTCGATCTTGTACACAATGAACCGATGGTTTCGCTTTGCTTTTAGTTCCAAGAACTTCAACAAGCACTCATCATTCACATACATTCCAGAAGATGAATTTGCCTATACGCACCACCGTAGGAATTAATGTCATTTAATTGTTAATAACATACATTAAAGAAAACCAATGTACAATATTATAATACAAAGTTAATTAGCAATTAAACAATAATAATAAGAGAGAGATACCATTTTGTTCTTCAAATGAAACTTTGATAAACGTTTTGGCAATTGTCGGGAAATCTGAGAAAATAAATAGGCGAAAAGAAAAGGAATTGAATTTCTGGTTTTGGTAGGGGATGAGAATTGATATTTCTTTTAATTATGGAAAACAATTGCTAGGTAGGGGATGAGAGATATTTTAGGGTGAATTAATCAGAATTCATCTTCCTGAATTACCATTGTTTGTGGTACATCTGTTTTTGGGTTTAGTAATTTTGGTTAGTGGTATATGCTTGACAAAAACAAACAAAAATTTATTAGTATTATTAAATAAATATAATTATAGATGTTAAATGAACCGGACTTTGACCGATTAAGTAGTGTTTGTGTTTATTTGTTTATTTTTAAGGTGTTAATGTTCTACTCGTATTAGTTTAAATTTTTAATGTCGTGTTCGGTTCGTTTAACAATTGCGAATATATTTATCTAATGTTGACCGAATATGTTCATTCAACGTTCACAAACATATTCGTTTATATGTCCGCCAACGTGATCATCTAGTGTTCTCCGACATATTCATTTAGAGTCCAATAATGTTGATTATATGCTCAAAAAATGGTGAAATTGCACAACTAGTCCTTAAGCTCCTCAAGCATTAAATTTTGAACTTTAAAGTTTACTTTGTATTCAATTTACTTCATACATTAACCGATATTTAAAATGTAAAAAGAAAAAGAAAAGGAAAACCGGATAAACAATCTTATAAACGAGTCGAAAAACGAGCTTGTTCGTGAATATAAACGAATCGAACACACATTTATCTATGTTCGTTCGTTTAGTAAATGAACATAAAAATATTATTAATATTTTTTTATTTTGTTTAATAAATAAATATTATAAGAATGATTTATAAACAATTAATCAAACATTACGTTGAATTACGCCCTAAATATAACAAAGTAGAGACACTGAACCTCATGGATGGATGGATCCGAATCCAATTGTTACAATGTTACATCATAAACTAGTAGACCTAGAGAGTTTTATTCTAATATTACATGTGATATTTATTCAACATGGTGGCATTGATGACGTGGCATCGGACCAGGTAACATCTATTTCACCCTGCTCGCTTTCGGGCACTCTCAGAGCGGTCCAAACTGCTTTCGAGCCATCGACAATATTATTACGGCACGGTGGCTGAGAAGCATGCTCACCATCACACCCTACCCGAGAGTCACATTCATCGACCACCGACGCCCTCACGGCTTGTCCATTCCCGTTGATGTTGATGAACTTATTGCAACGACTACTCTGGCCGAACCAACCCGTCAAGAGTATCACACGCTCCAATCTCTTTCGGATGCTCCGAAGACTTTCCAAACTGAGGATTTAGACACATTAACAATGTCATTAAGACAAGAATATTGAAAATCGTGCTCAGAATCGCATCCCATTTCTACCACCATCGTCGTCGCCCAGCTCAATGCTGTTAAGTGTCTACATTGCTTTAATGCAGTGTCTTATGACTGCAACTTGTTGATAAGGATCGAATCTTCCTGCAGATGGCAATCTTAATTCCTAGATTATAAGAAGGATAGGTGAAAATTATTTGGTTCGAACTGGAGAAATGAAATTAAAGTCCAAGGATCAATTGAAATCAAGAGTTCATATATTTCCAACTAACTCTCATCAAAGCTACAAATATCACACACAACAAATCATCAAAGCCAAAAAGCAGGCTGCCCCTCCATTCCCAGTAAATCCCATAGGACTTTCAAATCACAATCCGATGGCCTTCGACAGCAAACTATATAAACATTGCTGGAGGTAAAGAGTATCATCGTCCTCGCACTAGATCAATGTCAACATGGCTATTATTACACATATCCATTAGATTGTGGCCCAGGCAACACGCCTGCAGCCGAACTTGGAGTCAGATTTTGATTTGGTGAAATGCCAGGAGGTGCTACTAGGTTGTCGACAATCTGATCATTCGAGTCTTTCAGACCATATTGACTTCCCCTTTCCTTGTTCTTTGTCTTTGAACCACCCCGGACAAAACTTCCGACAATCACCTGCTTCATTAATCATTTGGTTAAGATACATAAAAGATGATTCAAGTTCATTAAAAATGTTTTAAACTTTGAAATGGAATCACGATGACTTCCTACTGTCTCGGAATTGCAAGTAACACCATAGATACCGGTGGCAGTGATTGAGGAGTTACCTGGACTGGGCTTGCTGCAATAAGCATTCCTCCAACACCTCCACCGATGACACGGCCATCCGGACTGGCAAGAGAGACACTAAGACCGCCAGTTCGATTGCTAGAGACACTATTGCTTGTCAACAGGTAACAGCCCGACAAACATACTATCTCGAATCGTCCCTGAAGAAATCAAAATGGACAGGAAAAGATACATGCATCAGGACAAGAATTTCAGAGGAAGAGTAAAAAAGCTTGTTAAATAGCATTGACGGAAACTACAGACCACTTCAACAATATCGGACAACAGAAATATGTGAATTATATGAAATCATTCGATATTACTCTGCAAAAAAGTCCTAGGTTGTCCCAACATATTTGCCACGAAACAATTGCAAGGGTCCAGTTGTCGAGTGCCAAACCTTGTATGTAACGGTGCCACCCAACGAAGATGGCTGGCGAAGAGTAACAGTTGAGATGGCACCACTGGCTGACAAAATGCATACTTCTCTTGGCCCTTGCTGTGAAAATGACATTAATTTTGTGGCAATGTCCTGCAGGGAAAGTTGAAAGTAACTCTCTAGGAAAAAAATCAACTTTCTTCCATGTGAAGATAACCTACTGAAAGATATAATACCGCATTTAAACAATTCATATCTCAAAAAATTAACGCTTCAAGACAAACTATCGACGTTTTGTTAGAGAAACAACGAAAAATCTAAACAAAACTTAATGCCCCCATGCATGGTATAGATCAAAGAAGTACTCTACCTTACATAAACTGTAGAAACAAGGACTAAAAAGACAACCAAATCAACAACGGTGTTCTATTACATAGAAAGCCAAAAGAATCCTAAGTTCTTGTACATTTAATTCGGAGGGAAGAGTTCGAGGCCTAATTAAAAGAAAATCGCATACTTCTCCAATCGCAATGGTGATGACATGTGGATTAAAACTCATCCCAGCTGAACCAGCCAGCAATTCACCTTGCAAATCAATTAGACAATTGCAACGTCATTCACATAGCAAAAATAAGATATGTTAGAATTAAGCACTAAGAAACAGAGATACAGTGCAAGCACCAATACGATATAACGTGTTCGTACTTTAGCTTATAGGAATTGTTGAATGATTAGTTATGAAGACTTCCACATTTGAATGTCTATGTCACTAATAGTTATTTAAAGTCTGGAACTTTTATCACGTATTCCTATATATGAGGCTGAGCATACAATTTTATAATATTAGCAAAACATAAAAATTTACCCAGGGAAGACAACTGTTGCTTCCTTCCGGTACCCAACGGCCGCCCTCTTCCCCGTTTTTGGGTTGGAGTTATTGTTCCAGGATGAGTAGCCGATGCAGGAGTTAGTGCTAATGAAACAGTTCCATCCGATCCATACTTTCGAGGTCTCCCTCTTTTACGCTTCACGGGCTCAGTAGGCGGCACTGCAGGAGGCGAGCCTACACTGACACTATGAGGGGTCATTCCCGACAAAGGCTCTACAGGTAAGGTTGCTCCCATAGTAGCGGCACTTGTTTGGTATTGAACATTTGGATTCAATAATGGATGAATGCCTGGTGATCCCTGAACCCCAGTTTGTGTCCCTGAGCCAGTTATTCCTCTTTGTTGCATATAGTAAGACGCAGAGCCCGATAACGCCATAGCATCCCTTCGATCCATGCATTTACCTCGTGTAACCTATACTTGAATTCGCATTCAAATCAACACTCCATGCATATCGGAAAGGCTGGAAATAAATAAAAGCGCCTATGAAGCTCCAATCTGTGACCACTAAACAGTTAAAAAGCATAGAGAACTTGGGAACAACATGAAGAGGGACAGAGAGAACAATCTACATGAAAGATTATAATATGTCAATGAATAACTTGTTTCCAGGTCCCATAATCCTAGAGAATCGAATTTCACACATGCATGGCTCTGGAAATTGAGCTGCACCATAAAGTAATGAGCTACATTTAGCTTTACAGAGAAAGCTCTTCAAATCTATATATGAAAGGAAGTAAAACGAAATGGCATACGCTCGAAACAGTGCTATTATTAGGAAATAAAGCAAAAAAAAAAGCTTCTTGTTAAAGAAATTAAGAAGCAGAATGGGAACTGTTCCCTAGAAGCTTAAGACACCTCAAAATCACTACCCCAAGGAACCATTTACTCACGTAATCAAGAAAATAAAGAAACAGACAAAAGCTAGAGCCAATGCCATAAAAAAAGAAAAACCAAGTTGAAATAAGAACTACAACTTCCTCCAAAAACTAAGCAAACATGGCTAAAAAAATTGCTCCTTTTTCATGGGAAAAAAAATCCAGAAAGAGTAAGTAACTTACATTAGTGAACAGGGATTAAACTGTAAAAAGGTCCACCCTTTTGAAAGTAAGAAGATTTAAAGAAGATGGGTTCTTTTTTTTTCTGTTTTGTGGGAAAACGAAGGAATTAAAGGGAAATTGACAAATAATAGAGAAAATGTGTCATTTTTTTCTTTTTGCTGTGAGGGAGAGAAGAATTGGAGAGAAAGCGTTGTTTATTAGGCTATTTTTTTTGATATATTATCGGTGATCGGTATTATTATTGATATAATATCGGTTAGATTATATTTCTCGATCTAACATCCTTAACAGGAAAACACGCCTCTTGTATTGCGTTATATGTTGATTTGGCGTCACGTGGGTATAGCGCGCTCCCTGCCCAGCGATATACCTGGATATCTGACACGTGGGGTATAGCGCGATGCAAGAGGGCGCGTTATACCCCTAATTACCAACCCTTCACGTCCCCATCCTCCCTATAAATACTCTAATCCTCAATCACTTTTATCACACCAAATTTTCTCAAATTCTCTAAATTTCTCTCAAATACTCTCTTTTTAAGGTATATTTTATAATATTTTTACTATTATAATTTTGTTTTATTTAATATTTTACTAATATAATTCTTTTACAGATATAATGGAAGGCAGTCTAGTTCACTCGGATGGAAATCATATATCTCTACAATTTGCTGATACGGTCACATTTTAACGTTTTAATTTAATTTAAATTATTAGTAATATTTAGTTGATTTATTTAATGCATGATTATTAGATTAAGAATTAAATATCTCGACACTTTACCGATACGGTAACATTTTAACGTTTTAATTTAATTTAAATTATTAGTAATAATTAGTTGATTCATTTAATGCATGATTATTAAATTAAGAATTAATTTTTGTAATTATTTATTTTTAGGAGAATGACCGTGTATTAGAACATTTTATTAGGAATCTTAAGTTAGTGATACCCAGCCGTGTCTTGTCGTATTTAGTAGAGGCTGGATTCAGTTACATAGGTAGATATCAGGGTCACTGTAAGATAGAGCCAGACCTGATTTCTGCCTTAGTAGAGCGGTGGAGGCCGGAGACCCACACATTCTATCTTCCGTGCGGAGAGTGCACGATCATGCTTGAGGATGTTTCTATGCACCTGGGGCTTTCGGTGGATGGAGATCTGATATCGGGAATAGCTTCCGGTTCTTGGACTACTTTGTGTCGGGATAGTTTAGGACGTGTCCCGAAAATTTTTATCGGAGGTAGGATACCGTTAAATTGGTTAGATGCCAATTTTCGGGAGTTGAGCGCAGACGCCTCTAAGGATGAGGTTAAGATGTATGCACGGGCATGCATACTGCAGCTGATAGGAGGGTTGCTGATGCCGGACAAATCGCACAACCTAGTTCACTGCATGTGGTTGCGACATCTTAACGACTTTCGTCTCGCCGGATCATTCAGTTGGGGCTCGGCAGTTTTGGCTTTGCTGTACATGGAGATGTGTGGAGCCACTAACTACAGGCGTAATACTATCGGCGGATGTCTCCTGCTGCTGTAGTCTTGGGCATGGTATCGATTGCCCTTTTTATGTCCTGTTGTGAAGAACCCATTCGTATTTCCACTACTTCTGAGGTAATTATAAAACTGATTTTGTATATTAATAATTTTATACAGCGTATAACAATTTTTTCCCTTGAATATGTGGTCTACTGATAGGAAAAATCATCAGGAGCTACCTGATGATTTAAAAAAAATTAGGGTGCTAATCGATCAGAAGGCTGACACACAGGTATGAATTTTAATGTTTAAAAATCGATTTTAGATTATAGTTATATAATTAGATTATTATTTTGATAAAAATTATATATTATTTGTTTTAGTTTGAATGGGTGCCACATTCTACTGATGATGTGAGGGCGGTGAACCCACCAGAGTTGAGGGGTCCATCAGATGTTTGGATGGCGATGGTCCCTCTGATCTGTTATACGGCCGTCGAGTGGCACTCTACTGATCGCGTGCTCCGACAGCTTGGTTGTTTTCAACCAATTCCGGAAGCACCTCGCAAAATAGACGCGACAAGACAGATACAGATTGGCTGGTGAGGCATCATGAGTGGGTCGTGTTGTGGGAGAATCGACATTGGCGCCTTCCACGTAAAGAGCCCATTTTTACTGACTTATTGATGTATGTTGAGGATTATTATGAGTGGTTCAACAGTAACGGGAAACCGTTTCTACTTCCCGAGGATGCACGAGGGCAGACCTTTCCACGACGTCGATAAAGACGTTCACCGACACAGCACCATCGTCCCCCGACTCGTGGACGGAGAGCAGGTGCTTCCGGTTCATCCTCAGCTGTACCAACAGGACCTTCCCAGCAGCCACCGCAACCATATATGATGCCGCAACCATATATGATACCGCCATCGCCTTTCCATTACCAGATGCTGCCGCTACCGCCTTCACCTGGTTTTATGACCCCGCCACCGTCACAGTCACAGATGACCCTTCCTGGAGGCTATTATGGGTTTATGTTTGCAGATCTGACTTGGGGTTCATATGTTGGATATTTGGCGGGTTCATCCTCATCACCCATGGCCGCAGCACAGACACCTCCTGTACAGTTTTCACACTCAGCGATGCCTGGGTTTTCCCAGTTTTCGCATGCCGGTGGGATAGTCAGTCATACACCTCCAGGGTCCTTATTCTTTGGAGGTGCTTCATCGTCATCAGCTCCTCATCAACTTGATGTACCTGCTCAGGACGATGACGACGATGACGATGGTGACGACGACGACGATGATGACAACGAGGAGTCAGAACCAGTGATACGAAGAAATCCTCCTCGAGACCGACAGCCACCGCCATGCAGAACACATTCGCGACGCAGGCATCGATAGATTTTTTTTATTATATTTGTATTTACTTTATTTTGTTTAATTGTAATTTTTTATTATTTCTCATTTAATACTTACTTTATTTTGTTAAATTTGTTGGACTTTTTTTAATATATTTTAGTTAATTTTTTTATTACCATTTAATATCAGTTATTGTAATTTGGTTATCATTTACCATTTAATTCTTATTGTAAGTTTGTTGTATTTAAATATCAAATTGTTATTAGTTTGATAAAATTTAATAATTTTGTTCGTTTTTTTAATCTTCATCAGCGATTATCGAATGACATTAACTTGAAGTAAATGCAAATTAAAATACAAGAATTATTATTTGATAAACAAATACATCATTTCCTCATCAATTGTTACTTGATGACAACAGAAGTTGACATGTTTTTCTAGTGTGTCCTGGGTTTCTACAATGGCCACATCTTCTGTCTTGTCTAGATCTTTCTCGAATATCCATATCGCAATGAATTCGATTGGATTTTGGACGACCACGCTCCCTCAATAAACTCAGATTTGGTACAATCGAAAGCCAATCTTAAACCTCATCAGGGTCTTTGTCATTACCTATGGGGGGAACTCAAATTCGTATACCTTAAAAACTTCAGATAGTAGGTATACGGGATCCACAAAATGGTTATAGTCTTGACGTGTATGCGAGCAAGCTGCTATCACATGAGAGCATGGATACTTCAGAGCTTGAAAAAACCGCAGTCGCACGCTCTGTCCCTTAGATTTACTCTTAACGACACAACTTCAATCCCTTAAAGAGGTCGGGGCAACTCTGTGACACAAAACATTTCATGCCTTCTAGAGAAGCTTGTTATAGACATTCCATTTAATGCAGCAATTTTTTTCTGTATATCTGCAACTAATCTAGGGTGATAGACATGACCGCCTTGCATCCAGGTTTGAGCTTGTCCCCCGAGCTTCGCAAAAAGCGCCCCCAAACGAAAATATATAGTTTTTACCAAAGCCGCTACAGGTAAGTGACGTGCACCCTTTAAGATTGAATTGATTCCCTCAGCCAAGTTGGTCGTCATGTATCCATATCGATATCCACCATCATATGCGTTCGTCCACATTTCTTTATCGATTAGGCTGATGTAATCGTATCCTTAATCATTCTTCGCCTGCAAATCTTGAAGCATTGATTCAAACGTTCGAGGAAGTAGTTCGTAACCTGATCAAAAAATGTATAACTTACTAACTTGCTTTCTTTGCAAAATTAAAATGATCAAAAAATGTATAACTTACTAACTTGCTTTCACTTACCCATGCGCACAATTAATTGACGCTCATCATTCTTCTTGTACCTTCCATAATAGTTCGCAGAAATGTGTCGGAGATAATACCTATGTTGGACAAAGGGTGGTTGCCACATTGGACCCAAAGACTCAATTGCTGCTTTGATCCTAGCTCCGCGATCTGAAATGACACAATTTTTTCCCTCGTGATAACATGTGCACGTAAATTTCAGAGAAAAAAGCCCAAGAATCTGTATCTTCTCCTTCGACAATAGCAAAAGCAACTGGAAGAATGTTGCGATTGCCATCTTGGACAACTGCCAATAATAAAATTTGCTTGTATTTTCCATACAAGAAAGTCCCGTCGATCTGGACCACAGGCTTGCAGTATTTGGCAGCATTAACGCACTGTGGGTAACTCCAAAAAACCCAGTAGAATTGGCATCGATCACGAAGAACTCGATCATTATGGTATGAATAGGAGGTTTCGAAGTCCACAATTATCCCAGGATTCAACGTCCGCACCAGCCTAAACCAACCTGGAAGTTCGTTGTAAGATACATCCCATTCGCCATGAAGTTTGACAATGGCATTTTGTTTTGCCAACCAAGCTTTTTTATAGGAGACGGTGTACCCATACTGCGATTGTATAGCTGAAATCAACACTGCAACAGCTATATGAGAGCTTGCTTTTACCATGGGCATGATGGCTTGGCATATCACTTCAGAGTCCAAGTTCAGATGATCTTGGTTGACCCCTCCAGCACAATATGTGTAAGGACCGTTGTATACTGTTAGTTCTCATATGTTGTTTTCCTCTTCATTTTCGATACGTGAACCATCTAATTGCATCCGTTTTCACGTCGGGCACAGTAGCATACATATTTTTCGGTCGTCGATTGGTTGACTCTGGACTGAACAGAATTACGGATATTGTAATTTTTGATAGC